TGCTTTGTAATGCAAGTAACTGTGCGTCAAGTAATGTGGGTTGAGTGGGTGAAACCTCTTGACAACTCTGTCAGCTTTGTAAGGGACAGAAAACACTTTGAATGAAAAATTACCACAAAGCACCTGGTAGATAGGAGAGAGGGAAGGAGGGAAAGAAGAAGGGAAAGAAGAGAGAGAGAAAGGAAGGGAAAAACCAGATATACTGATTTAGCTTTATATCATCTTTTACAGGACTCAATGATGACAGCTAGCATCACTGCAAGCAGTAAATCTGTCATCATCAAACAGGCACCACCAGAGTTTTGCACCATCATTCAGGTGACAAATACTTCAGATTCTGTCCCTAAAATGTTTGCAGTGTAGTGTGCTCCCTGCACACCCCATGCCACTGTGTGTCCCTGTAACAGTCCAGTCAGGGTCCCCATGCCACTGTGTGTCCCTGTAACAGTCCATTCAGGGTCCCCATGCCACTGTGTGTCACTGTAACAGTCCAGCCAGGGTCCTCACATCTCTCACAGGGACAACTGCAATACTTCCGAACTACACTCTGCTCCCACCAGCGCATCCAGCACAGGCTGCCAGAAGGAGCTTCTTGAAAGATGGGCTCTAATGACATCACTCACCTGCTCAAAATCCTTGCACAGTGACCCCATCTCCGTAGCCAAGGCCTCCCACACTCTGAGGCCAACCTCCATTTTCGTCCCTGTCTTAACCGCTCCCCTATGTTGTGAATTGTCTCCAACCACCAAATGGATCCCCCACAATATGCTAGTCCCCCGAATATGTCCAATGCTTTCCAGTCCCCAAGCCTCTACTTGTTCTCTTCTGTGTACCCTCCCTCCTCCTTGCCTGCTGAAATCCTGCCAATTCTTCCCACCTAAAAGCTTTTGCCTCCTCACCCTCCACAATCATACACATGATTTCCTGTCCCCCTTCGTACAGCATTTGTACTACAGCTATCTGAGCTCATTCTCCTGTCTCACACAAGACCGTGAGTTTTTTGAAGACAGGAACGGAGCCTTATTCACCTGCATCCCCGTGTGTTGTGTGTCTGAGGTTTAGGCCACTGAGATCTGGAAACAGTCTGACCTGCTACAGAATATGTCACGGTCACATGAACGGCTTATACACGACTGGCAGACAGAAAAATGACATCAGCACAATTAAAAGCTGTATTGCTTTCACATGCAGTTTTCCTAGAATGCTAATATTTTGTGCAATCAAGAACTAGCAGCTTTAAAAAATGTACTCAAACACAGAACACAGCAAGTCACAGAGTCCTCAGCTCAGACGGACATGTGGTTCTTGCTTCAGAAAGCATGTGGTGTTTCTTTTTGTATTGCTGCCTGCTGTATCCTTGTCTCCAAAATTCAACAACTTAATCTCTTCCTTACAATCCATCAAGCCATCTTCAACTATTTTTAAAGGTAAAGTCCTTTTTAGAGTAGTATTTCTTTATCTTTTTGTGTTTCTTTTGCTTTTGTTAATGTCCTGCTTACAAAGTCAAATAGGTTTTGGGTGATATGCTCGTAACCCTGCTTTTCCTATAAGTCATGCTTGTTTTCAGAATGCAATTGTGCAGAATATGAAGATTTTAAGGAATATATATACTATATTGTTATATAAGTGCCTAGACCAGTGTTCAGTTGGAGATAGAAGGCCAACTGCTGGTCTTAATAAATGAATGATTACAAGGTCCCTCAATACAGTTCCCTTGAATGTCAATTGTTTGAGCCAACTCTCACCTAACTGAATATCCGAGAGGCAGGAATGGAGCTTTTTTTTGCTAGAATCTGAACTGCCAATGGAAACGCTCTTGGGCAAGACAGGCGGACCTGACCTGGCACTGGAATATAAGTGACTCATAGTTTTCCTGGATAGCTGAGCATGTCTGAAGAGTGCTAGGTCTCAGGGCTCCTGAAGAGGGAGAGGCCATCTGGGGGCAAAAGGGAAGGGAGAAGAAGAAAAGAGAGATAGGAATCAATGTTTACAGAGACTCTGCTAAGGCCCAGTTATATTATGTATTAAGATTTACATGCAAACATCTTTGAGACTTAATCCTCAATTGACATTTAGAAAGTCAGGCTCAGTGGTGAAGGGGTTTACCCACAGTGATTAACACAGGGTTGCCTGAATCCAAAACACTGGCTTTTCACGGCAATGGTGGTTTCCAAACCTAGCTCAAGGGCTGGACCTCCGGAGGAGCCCTGTAATAAGTGGAGGGTGGAGGTGGAAGATGAAGTGCAAGGAAAGAATGTGTGAGTCAAGTGAGCAGAACCTGGGCTTCCTACCCCCGCTTCAACCACGTGGATCGGTTTTACACACTGGGCTTCCTCTTATGCTTCTATTTGAAGGAAGAGTCCTGTAGTTTTAAAAGGTAGATGGGGAAAGGGTTAGAAAATCACTGCATCATATCAAGCTGCCTATTTCCCAATTCTGCCTGAGGCTGGCCCCTCAGCAGAAAAATAAATCAGTGCTTACAAAAGATCTTCTATGCAGACCACTGTTGGAGGGGTCCCCAAGTTCCTTCTCTAATCATTCCAAAGCTGTCTAAAAAGACTACTCTTCACCAACTGTACCCACTTGTTCAACTATTTTTACCCATTTCCAGGTATTCCAGCTTGGGAGGCACCTGACGTCCATCTGTAGAAGTGCAGGCAGCTTGGAGAGCAGGCCCTGCAGCTCCTGCTCTGGGGACGAGCTCTGCACCTGAAGCAGGACACCCGGGGCCTAGTCCTGGTGCTCCCTACAAGGGGGTAGGAGGATCACCTCCTCTCCCTAGGCTTCTGTTTCCTTGGCTACCAAGTAAGCTGGGTGGAATACATGGTTTTTAATGTCCTTCTGACTTTCCGGACTCTATACATAAGTAAGTGTGTTTGTGTTTCTGTGGGGGAGAGAAAGGGGAGGGAGGTGCGGGATTAAGAGTGAGTTTGTATAACAGCAAGTCAGGGCTAAGACATATAAAAGTACACACCCCCCAGAAACACATAGAGGCATATGCAGATCCTTCAGACAGATTTCTCTAAAATTTATGAGTGTCATGAAACAGACTGTAAAAAAGAAAACAATGACATTATGAATGCTGATTTAACTTAAGCACAACAGAGGAAGGTAGACCTTGAACTCCCCAGAGATAACAACTTTGGATAATACAAAAGGTAATTTCAGATCTTTCCAAAGGCCTTTCGAAGTCCAGGGATGAGGTTCTGTGTTGCAGGGAAAGGATTCACACATAAGTTTTGTTAAAATGATTAGAAAGAAAATAACAGGCACTGGATTTACAGCCAGTCTCCGGGCAATGAATGATTTGTCACCTTCTTCCGTTATTGATTCTCGCCTATAGACAGACGAGGAATGACTGCTGATGAAAGTGCCTGTGTAAAGGCCACTCAGACTGTGTCAAACATTCCTCCAGCGTCCCGCCCCGGGCTCTCTGCAAAGGCCCAACCTCCTCAGAGATGCTCTGCTGCCTCACTCAGCCAGCATTTGGAGGTTCAACTTCAGACTACCTATCTCGCAGCTGCACCCCGTTTTCCATCCCCACAAATCCTATTTTCTGACACAGAGGCTCGCTCTGTCACCCAGGCTGAAATGCGACGGTGTGATCACGGCTCACTGCAGCCTCAAACTCTTGGGCTCAAGCAATCCTCTCACCTCTGCCTTTTGAGTATCCAGGACTACAGGTGGTGTCACCACACCCAGCTTTTTTTAATTATTATTTTTTGTGGCGATGAGGTCTTGCTATGTTGCTCAGATTAGTTGCGAACTCCTGGCCTCAAGCCATCCTTCACACCCATCCCTCACAAATCCATTTTAAACAAATAGAACATTATGTACCCTTCAAATAACAATGAACACATCATTTATTTGACTAATGCTGCTGCCTTCCAGAACTTGCTAATGTCACTATCCACTGGCACCTGGGCTCTTAATAACATCACTCATTTACTGGGCACCTACTTTAGGCCAAAAGGTTTCTTGTGAATTGTTACAAATCTTTATAATGCCCTCTTATGATGAAGACCTTGAAGTTAAACAAATGCTCAAAGTTACATAGTCAGTGGATCTGATAGCTGAACCAAGCTGTCTGACTCCAAAGGTGGAGTGGACTCACAAACATCTCGTCCAGAGTAGTGTGAACTATCCACACCTGCTCCCGCCTCATTCCTCAACCTCATCTCACAACTTCACTATTGCCCTGGGAGACAGCAAAGCACCTGCAGCTTTCAAACACTACAGGATCCAGAAATGAAGGAAGTTGGGAGATCCAGGCACAAGCAAGGAGCACCAAACCTAGAGGCAAGTTCTCAGTCCAGAATTTTCTGCCCCTTCCCTCTCTTCTTGCCTAATTCTACCAATTAGGTTCACTGTCACACTGAAAAAGAAACTGGAAATTGCTTCCCGGAAGTTAAGGCGCTAATTAACATTTACTCTTTGGTTTCGATGTCTGGAATTGGAGAACAATATTCTTAACACAGCAGAGAACACCTGCCGTGCCACAATGGGAGTTTGATTCAGAGTTGACTCAGTGATTTGGAGGTTTACAAAGTACCACGATGGGCCGTCGGGGTCCTGGAAGGTCCTGAGGACAGAAGTAGGAGCCAGGGACGCAGCAAGAGGCAGCACCCAGGAAACGCTTTGTCAATTTCAAAACTGTGCTCAACGTTTTTTCTCTTCCTCTTCCTTTCCCTCCTCTCCTATATAGTCTCCTACTCCCCACACCCAAGATAACAGGATGAGTACTGCATTCCAGTTGCAAACTGAGTTAAAATGGCACCTGTGAGGCCGAGGCGGGTGGATCACAAGGTCAGGAGATCGAGACCACGGGGAAACCCCGTCTCTACTAAAAATACAAAAAAAAAAATGAGCCGGGCGCAGTGGCGGGTGCCTGTAGTCCCAGCTACTTGGGAGGCTGAGGCAGGAGAATGGCGTGAACCCAGGAGGCAGAGCTTGCAGTGAGCCAGGATCGCACCACTGCAGTCCAGCTTGGGCGACAGAGCGAGACTCCGTCTCAAAAAAAAAAAAAAAAGGCACCTGTGAACCTAAGCATTATTTGAAATGTCTTTACGTGGAAATACATGATCTGATTCTAAACAAACAAATGTATACCTAGCGCATTTCTAAATGTGAGGAAGGTATTATTCACAGCAAGTCCCTGAGAAGCTAATTCAGTGTGCCACAAACAAGCATAAGAGTTCAAAAGAAAAAAGGTGGGGTGGGGTGGGGTGGGGTGGGGTGGGGTGGGAGGTTGGAATGGGGCATCTGCTTAAAGTTTTCATTCCTAATAGGAGATATTTCTAAATTGAGTTGAAGAGAACTTGTGATACATTGGAGAGTCACTTACACTGTTTCACTTCAATTATTGGTTTCTCCCCAAAATAAGATTCAACAGAAAAGGTAACAAGAGTTCACCTCAGATACCAGTCTCAACAGGCATGGAGGTAGAGACCTCATTAATAGCACAGGAACTCACCAAGTAACTTTATTCCTCCCACCCCTTTTGAATATCCACATAGAAGTTCTCCTAATAGATGTAAGAGCAAATGCAAATGACTCACATTGTAAAGAATAAGGTCCACTGCAGGGAAGTTCTACCGGGGGACCACGAGGAAGCATGAAGGCCAAAACTTAGTCTGACCTATTCCCGATGAGCCAGTGGTTTTCCCCATGGCCATGGTCAGGTCACTTTATCCTTTATGGCTTTTGCTTTTCTGTGTGCAAAACGGAAACATTCCACTGATCACATTCATTCACCTTATAACTGCACAGGCCCTCAGAACATCTAATCTAACTGCTTCCTTGTATGGATGAGAACCCTGAATGCCAAAGAGGTACTGCTGGTGGTTACAGGCCACGCAGTGTCAAAACTAAGATTAGAGCAAGGCCTCCTGATTCTTAAGCGAGCACTCCGATACCCTGCTATCAGTCAACTATTACCATACAAAGTGATGAGATGCCCTGAAAATGTGTAAAGCTATATCCTTACACGACAGTCTGGCCATCACCCTAATGGCAACATTCAGTTGACATTCAATCTCCATAGTTTCTACTAAATGGATATGATAAAATATAATAAAATATGCCATATCTGATACATTTATAAGCAGTGTAAAATTCAAAGTTAAAATTTACCTTTAAAACACATATCTGAATTATTTCCACACCAAAGATCCTATGTTCTAGTGTATTTATAGGTAGCGTTAACCAAACACATTTAAAATAAAATCACAATTACCTGCAAAGAAATTGTTTAGGTTTCATTTTAATTAACGTCATACAAAAATGAATCCAATTTGCTTTAAAAACACTGAGTAAATGTCTGACAATCCCTGTAATGACTTGCAGCTAGAGAATTCCTAACTGCATCTACTCACTGCTTCACAAAACCCATTTCTCTGGCCGGGCACGGTGGCTCACGCCTGTAATCTCAGCACTTTGGGAGGCCAAGGTGGGCGGATCACCTGAGGTTGGGAGTTCAAGACCAGCCTGACCAATGTGGAGAAACCCCATCTCTACTAAAAATACAAAAAATTAGCCCGGCATGGTGGCGCATGCCTGTAACCCCAGCTACTACGGAGGCTGAGGCAGGAGAATCGCTTGAACCCGGGAGGCGGAGGTTGCACAATGTGAGCCAAGATCACGCCACTGCACTCCAGTCTGGGAAATAAGAGTGGAACTATGTTTAAAAACAACCACAACCACCACCCCCCAAAACAAAACAAAACAAAAAAACACCCTTCTCCAAAATAAGTCTACTCTCCTGGCTGAGAGCTTAAGAGACAGGAAAAAGAATATTTATGGCTAGCGTGGACTGCAGGACATATATTCATGTGTATAAAAGGTTACTTTAGAACTCCGGTACTCATGTTAACCTGTTTTATTCAAATAAACTTATTTTTTAATCAAACTAACATTAAAGGAGTGAAAAAAAATTAAAACTGTGGAAATAATAATTGTTTCCTATGCCAAAACATAGCAGAAATACTTCTGTCTGAGGACATCCAGATGGCCTAAGAACCTTTGAGGAAAAGATAGTGAAAATCACTGCATTTCAGGAACTTGTTTTTGAGAGACCTCAGTGAGTACAACTGGCATTGTCTAGTTTAGTAACATATCCAGCTTCACCAAGAGAACACTGAACAGTAGAACAGGGTCAGATCACTGAGGGATGTAAACTCGGAGGAAGAATTTAAGACTCTTCACCCCTTAAAACCGTGTTATCCATCCTCCCACTTGGACCTGAAGCTTTTTCTGGGGATAAGAACAATGTCACAGCCCAGGGTCTCGGTGTCTAAGGCCCTCATTGTAAAAGTTCAATTTGTTGGATCAAAGAAAAAATAAATTGCTCAAGTAGGTTGGGAGATGTAGTTGCCACAAATAATATGGCAAAACATTCATGTATTTTTAAATTTTTTAATGATGGAAAGTTTAATTAAAGTTTGTTGTTCCTCTTCTATGCCACGTACAGAAAAGGTGCACAGAAAGTCCTGAGAGGTACACAAAACAAAGTCTATCCAAACGCTTATTCCTCCCAATCTTTACCTTCTTATGTAAAAGATCTGCCTAAAACATTACATACCCCGAGTAGCTGTCCTTGATTATGTCTAGCTTAGGGGTCCTCCTATGTGCTCATGTTCTGCCATGTAGAAGAGCCCCAGTATATTCTACTTTCCTGTCTCCCATTCAGAAAGCCAGCTCTTGAGAATCGAAGTCTGGTGATGTTCAGGTCACTTACCTACTTAATTTTTTTGAGACAGGGTCTCACTGTCACCCAGGCTGGGGTGCAGTGGTGTTATCATGGCTCACTGCAGCCTGGATGCTACTTTACTTCTAGTTCCTAACACAGTAATTGGCACATGGTAAGCCTGTTGAATGAATGAGTAAATTAGTGGTTTGGAAAACAGAGGACTGGATAAATGTGTGCATAGGGGAATGCAGTTCATTTCAGGCAAATCCTCATGCCAGAGCAAGTCAAACAATGGAGTATGGAAGAGGCCTCAGAGATCATCTAGTCCAATTCCCTCATTTTCCAGAAGCCAAGGAATGTTGGCACAGTGCCCATGAAATAAAAAGAAAAAAATTAGAAAACATAAAAGAAAATTAGGAAAAGCAAACATTCTCTCCTATTAAATGAAGCTTCCAGCCCACATGATCTGCAAGTGGAATTTAAATAATTAAAATTTTCACAACACTAATTGCATTTGGCCCTTATTAGTGACTTCAAATGTGTCCACCTATTACCTAATGGTGTCAAGTCTACATCTTCCAGGCTCAATTACTTAGTATGTAGATGAGGCAAGATTCTCCCTTCTCTCCCTTCTGTGTTTCTCCAGCCTTTCAATGCTCATTAGCACCTCCAACAGAAGGCAGAGGAAATGAAACTCCAATTTATCAATGTCAACTGTTGAACCAGCAAATTGCATCAGTCCCGCCCCCACATGGAAGTGTTTGGACAATTCTGAATAAACAAGATGTTGGCAGCTGTGTTCCAATGGTTCAGTAATTGCATTGTTTCCTACTGTGCTCTATGGGTTGTGAAATGAATTTATTAAATAACCTACACAAGGGGAATGTGGTGTGCTCTAGCAGACACAGCTCTGGGCTGCTGCTGGGAAACTGTCTATAGTCTCCCATGTTGACCACTAGTCTTGACTCCAATTTTTCTGGTCCTCAGGCTCCTAAACTACTCACGAGGATAGTAATTCCGCCCTGGGCAGTAGAGAAATCTCTAGTACTTAAAACACTATGTGCTTTTTTCTCCCCATGCAGAGGTTTAACATTTATCATATTCTCTATATACTAGAACCTTGCATACTTACTTTCAGACCAAACTATGCCCTTTGAGTACAACATCCGTAACACAAAATGGTACACAGGGCTTGTAGGAATGTAAGTTTAACTGACCACTTCGCACTGGATGACAAGTCAGGAAAGGAAAATTGAGTCAAGGCACGTGTAGCAAATGGCGGAGGGATTTAAACATATAGAATGGGAAGCAATTCTATTGTCTTCAGTAGGTTTGCCAGTTGGTATTTTGCCAGTTTTCTTGAGCTATTAAAACTAGTTGGTGTTTTGTAAATTTAGCCTGGCTGTGTGACAGAATGAGAAACCATTTTCAAGTGAAGATGGAAAACCTACTTATATGTCATTGTGATTATAAAAGGGAAAAATAAATTAAATTTTAATACAAGTCAACCCTAAACCTAGTTGACCCCATGTCAGCTAGTGTTAAACTGGCCTCTTCATCTCAGGAGGCAGACGAGTTTGAGATTACAGAGAATGCCCTCAGAGAGAATCTCCCTGCAATTCTGGTATTAGCTGGAACCTAAATAGCCCAAGGTCTCCTGGTGGTTGGAGCATTTTTTCTAGACACAGAAGGTGGCTGAGTGCATATAAGATACGGGAGGACAGCTTCCTTTCAGCTGAAGTGTGGCACTCACTCAGCATTCCAAATTAGGCGTCAATTGTTTTCCCTTTCTTTCTTTGTTTTTTGAGACGGAGTCTCGCTCTGTCACCCAGGCTGGGGTACAGTGGTGCGATCTCGGCTCCTGCAAGCTCCAACTCCCGGGCTCTGGCTATTCTCCTGCCTCAGCCTGCCGAGTAGCTGGGACTACAGGCGCCCGCCACCACGCCTGGCTAATTTTTTGTATTTTTTTAACAGAGACGGCGTTTCACCACTTTAGTCAGGATGGTCTCCATCTCCTAACCTCGTGATCTGCCCACCTCAGCCTCCCAAAGTGCTGGGGTTACAGGCGTGAGCCACCACGCCCGGCCCCCTCTCTTTCTTAAAAAGAGCAAAAAGTATCAAAGAAAGCTTCTCAAATTAAGAAGCAAAATTTCACTCTTTCCAAGCTCCCCAACCTATTATCTTATAAATAGAACTTGATTCAGATCCACAATCGTGTATTGAAATGGACTCATGACCACTGGTCTGCCCAGCTGGTATAATCCGTGGCAGATTGTGTTCCCTGGGCTGGCTCACCTCCATGACGGGAACCATGATTGTGAGGGTTTAAGATGATGTGTGTGAAGCACATAGCCCAGTGCTGACACTTAGAGAGGTCTGTTGACGCTGGAGAGGTACTCTATTTCCCAGTTTCTTATTTACACCTCACAGAAGCCCTGTGATGTATGAGTTACGGTCACTATTTCCCAGACAGAGAAGTTAAGTGGCTACTCAGGGGCATGAAGGGGGAAAGGAGAGTCAGAAACTAAAACCAGGTCTGGCTCATTCCAAATCTTACCTGCCTTTTTTTTTTTTTTTTTTTTTTTTTTTGAGACGGAGTCTGGCTCTGTGGCCCAGGCTGGAGTGCAGTGGTGCGATCTTGGTTCACTACAAGCTCCGCCTCCCGGGTTCACACCATTCTCCTGCCTCAGCCTCCCGCGCAGCTGGGACTACAGGCGCCCCCACCACCCCCGGCTAATTTTTTGTATTTTTAGTAGAGACGGGGTTTCACCAAGTTAGCCAGGATGGTCTCGATCTCCTGACCTCGTGATCCGCCGGCCCCGGCCTCCCAAAGTGCTGGGATTACAGGCGTGAGCCACCGCACCCGGCCATTTTACCTGCTTTCTGCAACAAAATGTTGGTGTTTATAGAACATTCTGTTTTTTCCAGACTGACTTAGTGTCCTTCAAGGCACTCTTCTGAATAAACTGATAGTTTGCTTCCCCCTCCCCACCATAAAAGTAGAATGCCATATGTGCAGAGAAGTTCCTGCTGTAGCTTTATGTTCCATATGCTTTGGCTGTGTCCCCACCCAACTCTTATCTTGAATTTCAGCTCCCATCATTCCCACGTGTTGTGAGAGGGACCCGGTGGGAGATCATTGAATCATGGGATTGGTTTTCCCCCATACTGTTCTCGTGGTGGTAAGTCTCACGAGATCTGACGGTTTTATTTGGGGAAATCCCTTTTGCTTGGCTCTCATTCTCTTGTCGGACGCCATATAAGACATACCTTTTGCCTTCCACCATGTTTGTGGGGCCTCCCCAGCCGTGTGCAACTGTGAGTCCATTAACCCTCTTTTTCTTTATAAATTACCCAGTTTTGGGTATGTCTTTATCAGCTGCGGGAAAATGGACTAATACAACGTTCTTTGGATTCTGGCTGAATGCAAGTTTGTTTTATTTTCTAATTAGGAGCCCTCCAGCCAAACTGTAGGTCAACAGCCCAAAGGGCAGCAGAGTCAAGTGTGGGTTTTAAAAAGCCACACACAATGGCGCATGGAGAAGTGAAGATCAGCATCTGAGTCCTACCTGGAGTGTGCTCTGGAACGGGACAGGAGACCAAGGATCCACCGCACCTCTGCAGTAGGAGTGGGGCCCGAGATGCCTGTGTCGCTGACTCACAAGAGCTAGCAAGCCGTTTCCTCATCTGGGGCCTGTTTTCTCATTTGGAAAATGGTAGATTTGGACAGGTTGATATATTTTTTTTAAGTCATACTTATTAAGGTATACTATATATACAATAAAACTCACCCCCTTTTAAAGATGCAGTTGGATAAGTTTGGCAAAGGTATAAAGTTGTATAACCTCCACAATTAAGACAGAATATTTCCATCACCCCAAAAGGTTTTCTCACACCCTTTGGCAGTTAATCCCCTTCCCAGCCCCCAGGCAATCTCTGTTCTGATTTATGCCTGTAGTTTTACTGTTTCCTGAATGACATATAAATGACACAGTATATAGCCTTTTATGACTAGCTTCTTTCACTTAGCATGATGCTTTTAAAGTCCATCCACTTTGCTGAGTATCAATAGCTTGCTTCTTTTTGTACAGATGTGACACAATTTATCCATTCACCCGTTTCTGGGTTTTTGCTAATACGAATAAACCTTTTGTAAACATTTGTGTACAGGCCTTTGTGTAGAAATAAATTCCATTTATCTCAGATGAATACTTGGAAGTGCAATCGCTGTTCCATTTTTTAAGTGTGGGTGTGTGTTTGACTTTCTTATAAAGTGTCACATTATTTTCCAAAGTGCTTGTACCATTTTGCATTCCCACCAGCCATGTATGGACTGGATGACATTAAATGGGCAGCCTCAGATAATGACTGTTGTTCCTTTGACAAATCAATGCCTCATGTGTGCACTCTTCTGGTGCATTCTTCTGTTTATGTTTGTATGTATGGTGTATCTATAAATGGTGAGACACGATCTCACTCTGTTTCCCAGGCTGGAATGCAGTGGCACAATCACAGCTCACTGCAGCTTCAACCTCCTAGGCTCAAGTGATACTCCCACCTCAGCCTCCTGTATAGCTGGAACCACAGGCATGCACCACCATGTCCAGCTAATGTATTTGTTTATTGTAGAGACAGGGGTCTTGCTATGTTGCTCAGGCTAGTCTTGAACTCTTGGGTTCAAGGGGTCCTCCTGCTTCAGCCTCTCAAGTAGGTAGAACTACAGGTGCATGCCACCATACCCAGATAATTTTTTGTATTTTTTATTTTTGTAGAGTTGGGATCTTGCTAGTTGCCCAGTCTGGTCTCAAACTTCTGGCTTCAAGTCATCCTCCCACCTTGGCCTCCCAGAGAGCAAGGGTTACAGATGTGAGCCACCACATCAGGCTACATTCTTCATTTTATTCAAAAAATATATTATGAACATAAGAGTTTTTCTGACTCTTAGTATGTTAATGCTTCAAAGATGTGTGTGTGAGTGTGTGTGTATGTGTGTCAAAGGGAGAGAAGAGAAAAAAGATGAGGATCCACTGATGGACATCTGAGCTCTGAGTTCTGAATAATGCATTGACATGTTTCATTTTAAGCACTGTTTGGGTTCCATTCCGCACCCCCACCCCCTGCAAGCTAATGACCTCACCACTTTGAGCACCCAGCTGTTGCTGTCTGAAACCTGACTTTCACTATGAACAGACTCACAGCTGCAATACTCTGCCTACCTAATAATGCATGGCTCTTATCTGCTTCATACATCCCTTTTGCTAACCAACTTCACGAGGCAGGCTCCTCTGTTTTTCTGGTTATTTCTCCCCAAACCAGTTATCTCTCTGCAAAAGAAAAGGAAGAGGCAAGTACATCTTGAGAAGGAGAAGAGTTTGGGTTGCAGTGCAAGTGCTATTGGAAGTCTGCCTGTCTGTTCATTTTGCCACTTAAAGTGTTGTTCATGGCCCAGAAGCAAAGGCATCATCTGCTTGCTAGAATGAAGAATCTCAGCCTGCATTTGGGACCTAATGAATCAGAATCTGTGTTTTAACAGAAGACCCAGTGGATCTATAGGCATGTTAAAGTTCTGGAAGCGCTGGAAAGGAACATAAATCACAGGGAGTTTCCATTTATTCAATTTAAGGACTGACCTGTGGGTATGAGATGGCCAAGCTAATAAGGACAAAACCATGTCTAAAAGGCTGTGTGGTCTGAAGGAAATAGCCGACACCCAGTGATCCTCACCTCCTGATACCCATAACTCTTGTGTAGCCCCCTCGAACACTGAATGAGGGCTGGCCTGTGTGGCAAATCCAATAGGTAAACATGATAGTATGACACTTCGGAAGCTAGGTCATAAAGACACTGCAACCTTTTCTTGCCTTGATTCCTTGGATCACATGCTTGGGTAGAAGCCAGTCACTATGTTGCAGCACTTCAAAGGAACCTTGTGGAGAGGCCCACAAGGGGATGAGCCGAGGCCTCCCAACACCAGCACCAACTTGCCAGCCATGTGAGTCCGGTGGAAACTCTAGCCCCAGTCAAATTTTAGATGACTGCAGCCCTGCAACCTCGTAAGAGACCACAAACCAGAACTACTCAACTACACCACTCCTAGATGCCTGACTCCAAGAAACTGTGAGACCACAAATGCTTACTGTTGTTTTAAGCCACTCAGTTTTGGAGTAATTGATTACTCAGCAGCAGAAAACTAGTACAGGAACAGAAAGATGGATCTGAGGCTGGGTTTTCTCAACTAGTAGCAATTTTCCAGTCACATCACCTTCTTAGTATCTCAGATGACTCATCTGTGAAAGGAGCCATGGCAGTTCGTCAAATCTTCAACACTTTTGGATGTAAGATGCACCGTTACTTTACAAATCACTAGAATAGCAAAAAATATTCATATTTAGACAATCAATTCTAAGATGCATACTATTATTAGGGATGTACAATTGTGAGAAAGGGGAGCATCTTAAAAAAAAAATCAATGAAATACAATTATTTTACTTGTTCCGCCTACCACACAGAGATGGTGTAAGGATCAATGGAATAACAGATGAAAAGACACCTGGAAGGAACTTGATGGGCAGCATCCTGAAGCACCACAGCTTGAGAAGGGGAAATGACATTACAGTTATCCAAACTAGCTAATTAAACTGGCTCTGCTGGGCTTTGCCAACTCACTTTTAATGCTATTGCCTCAGGCTCCTATCACAATTTATACTCAAAATGACTGCTACAAAGGCCAGCTGAGAGGAAAAAAATAGTCAAGGAAAACCATCTACAGCAGTGTTCCTTAAACCTGTTTGAGCATAAGAAATCACTTGGTGCCTTTGTTAAATATACACCCAGGCCCCTTGCCTAGAGACTTTGATTCAGTAAATCTGCAGCTGGCATTGGAATCTGTATTTTAACAAGGGCCCTAGGCAGTTCTTACGAACATACAAGTTTTAAAACACTGATCTAAACAAGATAATATTGACACACTTACTGATATTTTTTCTTGGATCAAATTGTAATAGAAAATCACAAACCTAGATTGCCTTAGTTACGTCCCCTCCCCATATAAAAATGTTTTCAACTAAGTGAAAGATTTTACTGAAGGCCAATGCAAAAAAACTTGTCTTACCAAGTAAAGTTTATCATCAGCTGGAAAACTTAAGTGATGGCAAATTATACTATTCAATGTTTATAATATTCACAAATCTGCATAATAAAGATATGAAAGCGTATGTCTGGTCAGGTGCGGTGGGTCACGCCTGTAATCCCAGCACTTTGGGAGGCCGAGGCAGGCAGATCACGAGGTCAAGAGATTGAGACCGGCCTGGGCAACATGGTGAAACCCTGTCTCTACTAAAAATACAAAAATTAGCTGGACGTGGTGGCGTGCACCTGTAGTCTCAGCTACTCGGGAGGCTGAGGCAGGAGAATCAATTGGACCTAGGAGGCAGAGGTTGCAGTAAGCCGAGAGATCGAGCCACTGCACTCCAGTCTGGGGGAAAGAATGAAACTCCATCTGGAAAAGAAAAAGAAAAAAAAAAAAGAGTACCTCTACTGACAGACCTGTCTCTTTTAAATCCATCAATAAAAGTTGCTAGGCAACCATTTTTTCCTTTTTTGCATAGACTGCCAGGAATCTTTTATCTAAAATTTATGCGCTCAAACAATAGCTGTCTACCTATGTCAAATAAAACATGTCCTGCTACATAAACCTTCCTGTGAGACTTTAGCTTTGCCCTGTATTTTAATGGACACATTACAGTAAAATCTTTTTTCTTTAGACTTTTTTTTTAGAAGAAAGCAGAAAACAAATTTTAAAATCAATAATGTTACGTAATTTTTGTTGTTGTTTCTAATCACATTCAGACTAAACAACTGTACCACAATTTCTAGCAATTCTTCTTCCAGTTGCTTGGGTTGTCTCCCCTCATGGCAATCCCTTGGCCTGCTTTTAAAACACAAAACAAATGCTAACCCTATCTTGGCAAGGAAAGTCAATGACTCATTCAAGCCAAAGAGTTAAGAGACTAAACAAAAAATAATTTTAGAGCAGCTCCTCAAAAGGCTCTTCTTTTTTTCCTCCGACGTACAACATAATTTTCTGACAATCTGACGCAACTATGGCAGCACCTTCAAGCCATTAAAAATCTTTTTTCTGCAAAAACGAAACAAAAACAAAAAACTTCCACTTCGTTTTTAAACATCACACTTGTGTGCCTTCAGTTTCGCAACAGAAATTCATCCTTGACCTAAACTTCTAAATATTTCACAAACAATAATTAAGTCACTAGAACCCTGCTGTGAAAAGGGCATTTTCTGACAGATGGGCAACGAAGTCAGAGCACAAAAATAGACTCTATGCTTTTCCAGCCTTACAGAGCAAGGAGACACGGGGCAAGGGTTTCCATATCAACCCGCAGATCAACCCTAGAGCTCTGGGGGTACGTAGTGTCTCAAAAGCACACGACTGAGTTGTCAATACTTTAGATCGTGTGGTAGTGTTACTCACTGTTGTTCCAATGAAGTTTCTCAATCTCTATGATTCTTCTCATACCAGCTTGGCTGCCCAGGCTAACTTCACCTTCTTCTTCTAGGGAAAGATCTTTTCCTCTGTTGAGTCCTGCAGACTTCCCTCTCTTTCCATCAAGGCTAATCCCATCCTTATCTGTATTCCCATGACACTCAACATGGCATCACAAATGGTTGTCTCATATGTCTGTCTCTGCTACTGAACCAAGCAGCTTGAGGTCAATGATCTCAGTTCATTCATCTTTGAATTGCAGGATCAATCACACTGCAGGCACATGGCACATGGCAGGTACTCGGCCAATTGGTGTGAATGAATGAATCGAGTTCAGTGACACTGAGGTCCCTCAGATTCTCTGACTCAAATCCAGTTATGAGGCCGGGCATGGTGGCTCACGCCTGTAGTCCCAGCTACTCGGGAGGCTGATGCAGGAGAATCACTTGAACCCAGGAGGTGGAAGTTGCAGTGAGCCGAGATTGTGCCATTGTACTCCAGCCCAGACAACAAAGCGAGACTCCATCTCAAAAAACAAAACAAACAAACAAAACAAAACAAATCCAGTTATGATGCAAATAAGGACATGAAGACGGAGGAAGTAATTTTCCCCAAAGGTATATCCAAAAAAAAAAAGACAAAAATCCAGATTTTCTCATCTCCATTCCACTGCTTTTCCATCATGCCTCCTCTTTGCACATGCTGTTTTCTCCTGTGGGGCCACTACTTTTTGTGTCTTCTGCCACTACTTTTCTGACCTTCCCAAGCTTTCTCCCAAGTCCTTCACATCTCAGCCAAGGAACAAAAACAAGGAAGCCAAACACAACAAGGAAGTGCCAGTTGTTCTACTGTGAGAGCAAGACAAATTGGGAACAACAATACAATGCTGGCAGAATTTCTTTCCGGGATAGACTGAAATGTTCCTTGGATTGTGCAGACAATTGCTTTCTATCAGAGGTACAGATGTTTGAGAGGACTCTTCATTTTTTTTTTTTTTTTTTTTTTTTTGAGACAGAGTCTTGCTCTGACGCCAGGCTGGAGTGCAGTGGCGCAATCTCAGCTCACTGCAACATCCACCTCCCAGGTTCAAGCGATTCTCCTGCCTCAGCCTCCTGAGTAGCTGGGACTACAGGCGCACGCCACCATGCCCAGCTAATTTTTGTATTTTTAGTAGAGACAGGGTTTCACCATGTTGGCCAGGATGGTCTCAATCTCTTGACCTCATGATCAGCTTGCACTGGCCTCCCAAAGTGCTGGGATGACAGGCGTGAGCCACTGCGCCCAGCCAATTATTCACATTTTATTTGCCCATGGATCTTTGGAAAGTGTCTTTAAAAAAAAAAAAAAAGTCTTAAAAACATACAACCACATTTGCAAATTTTATTCCACTTAATCCAGAAAAATGCTAGGCTCTGATTCCCAAGTCACTTACAGATTCCAGAAAAAAAAATGATAACAATTTGATCTAATTTCTTAAAACATTTTAACTGTCTGTTGGTCTAAAACTGTTAAGACATTAAGAATCATAATCATTTTCAATCTTAACTCTGGAATTAAACTAAAAAAATTAGATGAATCACTTCTACTATTGTCTCTGTTCTACCTCTGTTTAAATATAACAAAACTCTGCCAACTTACAGATTTACTAGCCTTGATCCTAGAACTCATGGAGAAAAACCTGACCTCCTTTGGAAGATCAAGAAGAAGAAAGGATTGGAGGAAAAAAAGCCTTCCCTCAGACAAAAAGCTTTTGATTACAGGATGCCACTATTTTCAGAATGTTCTTAGCACATTCCCAGTAAAGCGCCATTATAGCCTCCCTCTCCGGAGTTGAAAAAAAAGTCCCACCACTCCTAAGCTGGGTGTCTCTGAGGTGTTGGAGTGAGGCAATAGTGAGGTCAGAGAATATGGTTATATGCTCTGGTTTGTTTCTGAGTGGATGGAACTGGGTTATATATCAAGAGCTCTAATTATAGACATAGCTCTATCCCTACCTGGACCTCAGCTTCCTTTAATATTAAATAAAGGGCATTCCTTGAAGGTAGCATTCGGTGACTCCCTAACACAGAGATAATCTCAGAGCATGTTTCTGAAAAAGCAGAAAATGGATCAAATGTCTTTAGGGAGTTTACTCTATTTTACTTCTGCTACAGAAACCCAAGGGTGCCTGGCACCCACCCCAAGCCATTGCTTCACACAGAACTCTAACACACAAAAGCAACCTGGGTGCTTGTTATGGGCTAAGTTGTAGACTCACAAATTCTTATGTTGAAGCCCTAACCCCCAGTAACCTCAGAATGTTACTGTATTTGGAAATACAGCCTTTAAAGAAGTGATTAAATTAAAATGAGGCTGTTAGAGTGAGTCCTAATTCAATCTGACTGGTAGCCTTATAAGAAGAGATATCTGGATGCACAAGGGTGCACATACACAGAAGAAGGCCATGTGAGGACACAGCAAGCAGGCAGCCGTCTGCAAGCCAAGGAGAGGGGCCTCAGGAGAAACCACACTTACTGACACGTTGAACTTAGACTTCCAGCCTCCAGAACTGTGACAAAACAAATTTCTGCTGTTTAAACTACACTGTCTGTGGTATTTTGTTATGGCAGACTTAGCAAGCTAATACAATACAATCAGCCTGCCTAGGTTTCTCCTTTCTCTAAAGAAAAGACTTTCATCTTAATGCTGGTAACTAATTTTCCCAAGGTCACCCAGTTACTTAAGCATCAGAAGAGGTACTCGAACACGGCTCATGGGAAGAAACAGGTACCCTCAGACATCTGTACTTTTTTCTTTTTAAAAAATGCAGATGGTACAACAAAACACCAAAACACTTGGCATAGACATCCAAAGACCATACCCAGGGTACGGTCATAATGCTTGAAGAACCCATTTTAAATTAGGATTATGACACTGAAGAACTAAAAAAATACATGTTAAAATATGCCCTGTTTGAGCCCAGAACTATGTCAGCATCTGCTGACCACAGTAAGTATTAGCAGTTCTTCTTTCCCCCTAGAAAGCCAACACATTTCCTCCTGAGAGAGCTCTCCATTGCTACTTATTCTCCTCTGAATGGCTTTCTTTCCCAAAAGGGCCTTCTGAAGGCTGTAAACACGGAGAGACATTCCCACATAAACACGCCTATTGTTAAGAGTATTACCGTACATCAGTGTCAACATTAGCACTGGAACATGTCTCCTTCTCGGCTCCTGGTCACACTCAAGGCCTGAACAGGCAATCCTCCATTCCTGTCCGACCTGGGCTCCCCACCAAGCACAAGACGCAGCTCAAGGGGAGAACAAGCTGCAGACTGTAACAGTTCATCATTCCAAGGCATGCCCCTCAGCAGAGAGGCATTAAGATGAGCTCCTGGGAGAGAACCCAATGGAGGATTCCTGTAGCAAACCTTGATTGTCAGACCTGAATCAAGGAAAGGGCTCTCGCCCACTGGTTTCCAAATGACATTCCCTGGATGAGTCTGGCCTTTCTGCATCTGAATCATCTCAAAAGGTTTTGCAAAAAAAATATAGATTCCAAAATGCCATTCTAGGACATTCCACGTCATGAGTCTGGGGCTTTGGATTCTGTATTTTTAAATGATCCCCAGGTGACTGTCTAATCTGAGAAACACACAAAACTGCCACACATTTTTTAGTTGAAAGAAAACAAAACAACTGAGAAGAAGCCAATGCCAACAAATCACAGTTCTTACCAAGTCAGTATCAGAAACATCAGAAACCCGGAAGTACCGCCCATCTACTTCTATATTAGTTTTCTATTATTACATGACAGAACACCCCCAAACTTAGGGAT